TGAATAAAGCTGCTCCCATTCCCAGCCCCAATTGATACCGCAGTAGTGAGCCAGGGGGTGAAAATTTATTTTATAGCCTTGCCTGTAGTAATGAGCTGTCATTCTTCTTCCATGGAACCTTTAGGTAAAAGTCTAACTTCTGCCTTTTCCCCTGCCCCCCTCAATAGTGAGTGGTGCCCACCTCCCATGGAGCCTAAAGGTGGAACTCTGCTTCTACCCCTCCCTTGCAGTAATAGGCAGGGAATAGTATCCCTCCTCTGTGGGGACTGTAGGTGGAGCTTTAACACCTCCTTCCCACCTCTGCAGTAACTAGGCAGGGCCCCACCCCAGCTGAGTCAGTGGCTGGAATCTTACCTTCCCCTCTTGCTTTGTAGTGATGAGATGGTACCCCTCTTCCTCCTGAGCTAGCACCATGGAGACTATAGAATGGAATACTTTCATCTGAGGGGGCGACCAGAAAGAAGAACACTGCAGAAGTTTTATAAACTAAATTGACATTTGAACCGCAAGACATAAAAGTGATCTAGGACTGAACCCAAATAGGTTGACTACCTGCTAGAATAGATTTAACTCAGAACCAGATCTTACGATGTCCAGGATATAGGCCAAAGCTACTCTTTATACCAAGAACCAGTGAAATCTCAACTCTAATGAGAAAGAAAATCAGTAGATGCCAACACCAGGATGACACAGATTTTGGAATTATAGGACAAGGATTTTAAAGACACTAATAAAAATGTTTCAGTGAGCAATAACAAACACTCTGGAAACAAATAAGAAATAAAAAAACTCAGCAAAGAAGTAGAAAATATAAAGAAGGACCAAATGAAATGTTAGAACTGAAAAATACAATTGACTGACATGAAAAATTCACTAGACTCGCTCAGTGGCAAATTGAAAATAGCAGAGGACAGAATCAGTGAATACTGATCCAGTCTGAACAACCAAGAAAAAAGAATTGAAAAATAATTCAACTGTTGGAAATGACAAAGGAAAGAATTAGTGAATTTTGAAGACAGGTCAATACATATCTGATATGAACAACCTAGAAAAAAGATGGAGAAGTAATTGAATTGAGTCTCAGGGACAATAAAGAAAGATCTAACATACATGTCACCTGTGTCCAGTAAGGGGAGGAAAAGGAATGTAAGGCTAAAAAAATTCAGGAAGTAATGACTCAAAACTTCTGAAATTTGGTTGAAAGACATGAACCTACAGATTTAAGGAGCTGAATGAACCCAAGTGAGATAAACCTAGAGAGCCATACTGAGACTTTAAAATCAAACCTCTAAAAACTAAGGACAAAGAAAAAGTCTTGAAGTC